AAAAGAAAGAAGAAAAATAAATAGAAATGTTGGAGAAATCCAAAAACAGCGCAATCCAAATGGATGGAAATGATAATAAGAAACATGGCATATATGCAGAGACCTAATGTGAAACAATACAAATTGGGATTGAAAATAAAAGCAATTCCAAAAATGAATTTAAAGACTTGTAGCTTCTAAAATGGCAAAATAGCTTTGTTGGACTAAACCTCCTGCAGATAACAATTACAAAATCTCTAAAACTCTATTTTAGAAAACAACAATTTGAATGCATAATGATGGAACTAAAAACAGATGGAAAAAAGTGTCTACCTAGAATTCCATATTCCGTGAAATCACCCTTTAAAAATGTAGAATAATAAAAATTTATATTAAAAACTTCAGATAAAAGCTGAGACTACGTGGCAACCAGACCTATACTACAGAAATTGCCAAGGGAAGTTCTTTAGGCTAAAGGTAAATTAAACCAAATGATAACTCAGATTTACAGAAAGGAATAAAGATCACCAGAAATGGTAAATGTGTGTATACCTAAAAGGCTACATTTAAGAGACTATATATTTTTTCTCACAACTATCAATAATACTGTATTATGGACACACACACACAAATTTTAAAAACAATAGTAGCACATAGCCAGGAGGAAGGTAAATGGAAAAATGTTATTTCAAGGTTTATATAATTTATATCAAGTGGTACAATATTAACTTTTAAGACTGTGGTAAATTTAAGATGCAATTTATAATCCATAGCCTAGAGTGACAATTTTTAAAATAACACAAAGATGATGTATCTGAAAAGTCAACAGACGAAATCAAAATTAAATATTATAAAACAAGACACTTCCCAACTTTGGTTTCAGGAACCCTTTTAACAGTTTGAAAATCAATGAAGACACCAAAGAATTTTTCTTTATGTGGGCTGTATCTGTCAATGCTTACCACATTAAAAATTAAAAGTAACAATAATAAAGGCACATGTTAACATAAATTTAACATTTTAAAGGAATAACTATATTTTCCAAAAAACAAAAAATGAGAAAAATAGCTGTTTCACACTTTTGCAAATTAATGTTTGGGCTTAAAATAACTGGATTCTCACATCTGCTTTTGCATTCAATTTTTTGTGATATAATGTGTCATGTAGCCTGTGGAAATTATACCATATACTTATGGGAAAATGAGCAAATTATACCGTATACTTATGGGAAAATGAGCATCAAAGGGTGAATAACACCTTAGTATTACTCATATTAAGTTTTGAACTTTCGTGGTCACAGATGTCCCAGGGACCCCCAAATCAAACTTGGAGAACTGCTGCTATAAAATATTTGATTAACCCAAAAGAAGGCATGAAAAAAAACAATTAAAAACAAACTCCCCCCAAAAAAACACACAACAAAAGAAACAAATGGAAAAAAAAAAGTAAAATGGCACACCTAAATCTAACTACATCAATACTTAAAATAAACAACAATGGACTAAAACACTCATATCAAAGGAAAGAAATTATGAAACTAAATAGAAGAAAAAAAAGCAAGACCTAACCATCTGCTGTCTACAAGACGCATAATTTTAAAACACAGGACTTCCCTGGTGGCACAAAGGTTAAGAATCCGCCTGCCAATGCAGGGGACATGGGTTCGATCCCTGGTCCAGGAAGATCCCACACGCCGCGGAGCAACTAAACCCGTGCGCCACAACCACTGAGCCTGCGCTCTACAGCCCGTGAGCCACAGCTACTGAGCCCGCGTGCCACAACTGCTGAAGCCCGCACACCTAGAGCTGGTGCTCCACAACAAGGGAAGCCACCGCAATGAGAAAGAAGCCGGTGCACCGCAACGAAGAGTAGCCCCCACTCGCCTCAACTAGAGAAAGCCCGCGCGAGCAGCAACAAAGACCCAATGCAGCCAAAAAATAAACAAATACAAATAAAAACAGATTAAAAACTGAAATAGAGAAAGATACACTAATCTTAAAAAAAAAAAAAACTGGAGCAGCTATATGAACATAAGAAAAAATATATTCCAAGAAAAAATATATTCCAAATATATTTACAAAGAAACATTTTATACTCATAAAAACATCAAACATTAGGAAGACATAATTATAAATGCGTATGCCCCTAATCATACTTTAAAATACATGAAGCAAAAATTGGCATTAAAGAGAAAAACAGATAAATTGACAATTATAGTTGGAAATTTTAACACTCCTTTCTCAGTATTTAATATTAAGAAAAGAAAAAACAATCACAAAGGGTATAAATCTGAACAACACTATCAGCTACCCTGACCTAACATTTATAATATACCATACCCAACTACTGTAGAATACGCTTTCAAGTGGACAGGGAACATCCTCATCCACCAAGACCTATCATATGCTGAACCATAAAACCAATCTCAATGAGTAGACAAAAGAAACCAAAACAAATAAACCTCCCTGAAACCTTAAAGAGTATGGTTCTCTGACCATATGCAATTAAATTAGAAACTATTAAAAATAAAAATAAAGATCTAGATAGTCTCCAAATATTTGAAAATTGCTTCTAAATAATCACAATGGAGATTAAAAATATTTCAAACTGAATAATAAAAATACCACAATTTACTTAGAGGAGAATATATACCTTTAAATGTTTAAGAATTAGAAAGGAAAAAAATGAGTGGAAAGAAAGGAATAATAAAAGAGAAGCAATCAGTTAAATAAGGCAACAGACAATAGGGAAAATAACAAACCCTAAAGTCAGTTCTTTGATAAGATTAGTAAAGTTGGTAAATCCCTGATTAAATGAATTGAGGGGGGAAAAAAAGAGAAATCACAAATTACCAAAATCAGGATCGAAAGAGGGGGATATTCACTGATGACGATTGTTTAGATAGACTATCCCCAGGAATCAACAAAAATTACCGTAATAATTAAGAGATAGTACGGTTTGCAGTTACGAGATTCAGTATTGTTAATTGTTGATTCTCTCCTAATATTTCTATAGCTTCAACACAATCTCAATCAAAATTTGAGCAAGCTTACTTTTAAAACAGAAATTAACATTCTAAAATTTACATGGAAATACAGAGAACTTAAAAAATCAAAATACTCTTGAGAAAAGAATGAAGCTAGAGAACTTACACTACCTTACTTCAGACTTCTACAGATCTACACCAGCGTTTCTCAACCAGGGGTGACTGTTGCCCTTCCACAGACATTTGGCAAAGTCTGGAGACATTTTTGGTTGTTCCTACTGGAGGATGAAGGAATGCTACTGGCAAAAATAGTGGGTAAAGGCTCAGATACTGCTATACATCCAACAACACACGCAATACACAAGATACCTTGCCATAACAAAGAATTATCTGGCCCCAAAACTCAACAGCGCCAAGCCTGAAAAAGCCTGAGCTATGCTAATAAAACTGTATGGTACTGGCATTAGAACAGACAAATAGATCAGCGGAACAGAATAGTCTAGAAATAGACTTACACTTTTATAGTCAACTGACTTTGACAGAGATGTCAAAGCAATTCAGTACCGAAACGAAAATGTTTTCAATAAATTGGTACTTCAACAACTGTATTTCCATATAGAAAAAAAAACAGCTCAATTCCTACTTCACAAAAATTAATTCTAGATCACAGGACTAAAAATAAAAGCTGAAACTACAAAGCTTTTAGATGAAAACACAAGAGAAAAATCTTTGCAACATAAAGATTTCTTCAGCACAGAAAGCAATAACCATAAAAGTTGAAATTAATTTATAAATTAAATCAAACTAAACTAAATTTTAAAATAAATTAAAAACTTAAGATCATCAAATTGGGAGAAAATACTATAAGACATATATGTGCCAAAGGACCTATATCCAGAATATATGAACTCCTATAGTTCAATAGTAAAAAGACAGCCTCAATTTTAAAAACAGGGAAAAGTCCACAAAAAAATAAATAAATGGCCAATAGACAAAATGACATTAGACATCATTAGTCATCAGGGTAATGTAAATTAAAACTACACCTATACACCAACTGGAATAGCTAAAATTAAGGAGTGACACAACCGGGACTTCCTTGGTGGTCCAGTGGTTAAGACTACAGGCTTCCACGCCTGGTAGGGGAACTAAGATCCCGCATGCCGCGGCCCAAAAAAAAAAAGAAGAGTGACACAACCAACTGCTGATGATAATGTGGAACAACTGGTACTTTCACGTAAAATGTAAAAATACTTTGGCAAACAATTCCACAGTTTCTTAAAAATCTAAATGGACAAAAGCAATTTCACTCTTCCTAAGGAATAAAGACACATGTCCTGAAAAGGACTCACACAAGAATGTTCACTGTCTCTTTATTCACAATAGCCAAACCTAAGAAGATATCATTGTGCGATCAGTGAACTACTAATCAGTAATAAAAAGTCACAAAACACTAATACATCCAACATAAAACCAATTTAAGGTGAACAATATTGACCTTAAGTAGGGAAGTTGTGAGGTAAGGACACAATTTTATCTTTTTCAAATGGTTATCCAGTGTTTTGAAAAAAGGTCCAGCTTTTCTCATGATGCCACCAACTGTATCATGTATCGAATATTTTCCATTCTATTTTACACTACTGGTCTATTAATGCCTCACTACCTCACTGCTTTCATTAGATAAACGTAATAGTATGTTTTCGTATCTAGTAGGGCTAGCCAACACACCTCCAACTCCAGAAATTTTCAGGGAATTTTTTGTCTATCTTGAGCAAATACCCTGTCCCTCTTCTCTCCCTTCCATGAAAATATACTTTAGAATCAACTTGTCTAGCTTGTGGAAAAAACTTACTGATTTTTAGAATTAAGTTAGCATTAAAATAACCCAGAGAGAACTGACAACCCTGTTGAGTTATCCTATCCAAGGACCTGAGATGTCTTTCCATTGGTTCCAAGTACACTTTTCTGCGAGTATGTTTTTGTTATTGGTCAAGAGTAAAGTTTTTCTTCTATAAAAGAAAGTTTTTAAAAAGAAAATTGTAAACTTACCTTAAACCATGCAACACCCTCACCCAAAGTCACCACTGTAACATTTCTTGTCACATTTATTGCTAGGCATTTTGTCTTTCTGTTACTATAATAAATGGACATTTGCTTCCATATCTTCTAACTGCTTATTTGCTTATGTGAAGGCTACTTATTTTTGTTCATTAATTTTACATCCAGTTCCTTCACTGAATTCTTACTGTTTACATTATTCTTTTCTTCCTCTGATCTTTAACATGATGGAATAAAAATATTAATAAAGCACATAATATTAAACGGTCCTTATACTCTTGGGATGAATGAACCTCACTTGGTCAAAGTATATTATACTTAATGTATTGTTGGATTTTATTTTGAACATTTAAATGAAACTGGTGTGTAGTTTTCTTTTTTAGTGTTGTATTTAGTCAGAATTTATCATCAGTATTTGGTTTAAAAATAAGACTGGAAGGTTTTCATACTTTATGTTCTGAAATAGTTCAAAAACTATCTATACTGGAATTACCTGCTCTTCGAGGTTTCAGAGTTGTGTGAAAGATTTCTGGGCATGAGTTTCTTTTGGGTGATGAGTTCTTTGATAAATTTTCCAATTTCTATCTATTAGGATTTTCCCTCCTCCAAGAATCAGTTCCTGGGTTTTATCACCTAATATATTACTTTTGTTAATATCTTAATTCCTTTCTTATTTTCCTGAATATACGTCATTTTCCCCCCCAACCTGTTAAATTTTAAGTATAAAAGATCATCAAAAGCTCAAACAATCAGGTTTCTAACAAGATTCATACTCAAGTGAATAAAGACCTGTGTACCTCTCACCTCTCAATCTGGGACAAAGCCTACATTTTATTATCATTTTTAAAGGCTGCTTATTGCTCAGCACATAATTTGAACCAAACAATTTTGTTTATTAATAAGCACATGGCAAAAGAAACAAAAGATGAAAAATAATTATTTAAGTAAAACTAGACTCGTTCGCATTATTCTGCAACTTACCATTTTTTGAAGACCCATTTGATTTTAAACTTGCTAATGTCCCAAGTTAAAGAAAGTTGTACTACATGTCTAGAAATTCTATGCTGACCAATGATTTCTCATACTTTTGCCTCTTTTTACAGAGGATATGTAAAACCTTAGCCTAAAATAAATGTAAAACCTTTATAAGAAAATCCAACAAATGAGACAGTACTTTATTTAAACTGATACCAGATATTATATGCCATACAAAATGACATAAAATTCTATAATTTAATTTTTATATGAAACCAGAAGTTATACTTACTAATAACTTACTTGTAAATTTTTAAGGGTTTCTAATATTTGGTATGCATAAATTAAATAGATGCACTAATACAATTTACCAAGAACTCAAATTCTGTACCTTTAACTAAGAATAAGAGTCCAGTGGTCAATATCACACCTAACAAGATGCTGTCAATGCACCATACACACAAAGGTAACTGGAATTCTCAATTTTTAGGAGATTCTTTGTAACTACTGTATCATCAGTGTCAATTAAACTATGGTTTTAACTGTTGCTATCCTTTATCAAGTCTTATTTTTTACTTCCTTGTCATTGGTTCTTAAAACCACCCCTCCTCCCCGGAATACAGAGATGGATAGGCCTTTTAACCTAGCTAAAAAACCTGGCCAAACAAGTAAGAGAATTACTCTTTCTGGAGTTTCCTACATGTATTTCATAAAAATCAAAATAACATGTCCAGCCAATACAGAAACTACATATAAGGAAATATGTCTCATGTACCAAGTACAAATACTAAACCAAATCACCTACAAATTCTAAAGAAAAACTCCAGAAAGACATAGTACAAGACTAAGATAATTTACCAGTTATTACACTGAATTTTTTAAAGGAAAGTGAAGGCGGTAGGAAGCAAGTAAAAAACAACTTACCATTTGACAGCTAAATTCTGTACCTCTCCATTTTTATCTTCCAGTAACTTCAAAATCATTTTCACTACCTTCCTTTCACTATCATCATCCAACTTGATGGAATCTTTCTGCAGTTCTGTCATCAAATCATTTGTAGCCATAAACCTGTCAAAAAATTAAAATTTGTTGGTAATTAAAATTTTTTAAGCACTAATAAAAAAAAAATCACAGTTTTCAAATCCAATGCTATCATTCATATCTAAGTCCTGATCTAGTCTTCTAAACAAGGTATCATTGGCTAAAATTATTTTCCCCGGGTTAGTGTTGATTTCAAATTTACTGACCGGACCTTCAATGAATGCTCTTTCATTCTAATAAAGTTGACCACGGAACAACGTGGCGGTCAAGGGGATCACCCTCCCCCCACCTCGCTAAAAATCCATGTATAACTTTACAGTCACCGTCCACATCTGCACTTCCGCATCTGCAGATTCAACTGACCACAGATCGTGTAGTACATGTAGTACATAATTATTGAAAAAATTTCCCATATAAGTGAACCCCCGTGCAGATCAAACCCATTGTTCAGGGGTCAGCTGTAATTGCATCACTGCTTTTAGGGGAAGAAAAGCTCCTCTTTACTTTTTCGTTGCATGTGATTTGAATTTTATCTAGGAAGTCTTTAACTAACATTAAGAATACCTTCCTGTGTAATACTGTTGTGTTGGATTGGGAGTTACATATTACAAATCACTGGGAAAATTCCAAAATGCAAATTCTCACCTCCACCCCAACTCCCACAACCAGGATTAAATGTATTTTCAAAACGATGAAGAGGTGATTCCAAAAGTTATTCCAACTGACATCCAGCCCCCTTTCCTTAAGAACCACTACCAAAGGACAAAGTTTTAAACTATGCGCAAGCACAATTCTTATCAAGTCTTATTAAACTGCTTATAAAGAAAAGCATATGTTCAAATTGGGATAATACAAGGTAAATTAAGCATGGGCCTTTTAAAAATTAACATCGTTCTCCTAATTGGAAGCCCCTCCCCATTTTATACGATGACAAAATGAAATTAAAACCACACAATATTCCAGAAAGTTAAAAGAACAACTGAATAGAACACTAATGCAGGCACTTCTACACACAAAGCATGAAAAGCACCTTAACTATTTTACTTAGATAAAATCCATTAAACAACCATACCAGTTAGGACCTCTAAGAACCCCTGAAATGTTAATCATCTGGTTGAAGAAAAAACATAGTGATCATCAATTTAAGTAAAAAAGCATGTAATCCCAATTAAAAAAAAAAGTTACTTTATAGTTCTGAAGAAACTATACTGGTACACAGATTCCTTCCTTTATTTACCATTATTTATTCACTGCCTGTTATGATGCTACAAAGGCTGCACTATGAGCAAAGAACAGGTAAGACATAAGTCTTGACTCCTAGCCTCAGAGAGCTTATACTCTAATAAACAAGTCTACTGATTTTCAAAAATCAATAATTAATGGTTAAACATTTTTTAAAAGTTGAAACGAGCACCGGCAAAATTAGCAACAGATAATATTTTTTAAACTCAGAAAACCTGGATTGAGATAGTATGAGGTTATAAGAAGAACTACTTTTTAATTGTGACCCTGAAACCAGAAAGTTCCTTCTGTTCATGTGTTAAAAGGTTTGCACTATAAATTTTATAAGGAAATTGTTTGACCAGTTTGAAAGCTGTCTATGGAAGATTCAAAAGTCAATTTGTAAAACGTCTCTTAGGCATTTACTGCTTTAGGTATGGGGCTAAGGGCTGAGATGATAAATTTATACTCAGTCCCCTCTTAACTTATTCATCTAACACAGCAGACAGGTAAATGGAAGAATCTCACACAAATTTTCTAAAACACTCAAGGGTGTTTCGCAAGGATCACACCAAAGAACCAACAGTTAGTTTGGATCTCAAAGGATTACCAGGGCTTGCATGGGGAAAGCTGGTTCGGGATCTTAAATGTATTTGTGTGCATGGTGGTGGTAAGGGGCATAATACCTCAGAGTGAAGCAATTCAGTGTGTCTGAGGCACAGGGAAATAGAAACTTAACAGGAAGATGGAAATGTAGGCTGAGGTCAAGATGGGAAAGGTTGTATATACTCATTCACTATGTACTGAGAACCTTTTATTTGTCAGTTACTGTGCTAGGTACTATGGATACAAGGGCTGGCAAAAGCAAACACAGTTGTTTCCTGCTATCTTGGAACTTACATAACAGCTGAATAGAGGCATACTGATTTTTTTAAACTACATACATGAGTACTTACATATGTAGTTATGACCTGAGATAAATGCTATGAAGGAAAGGAATATGGCATAAAGAAAAGATAATGGGATAACAAAGTAACATGACCTAGACTGGAGTGAAAGTTGTGTATCAGGGAAGACTGAGATCCTAAGCATGAAAAGGAAACTGTATGTGGGGGGTGGGGAGGTTATGGCCAAGTAGGCAGGGGCCAAAAGATTAAAGAGATTTGAAGATCTTACTAGGATTCTAGTCTTTATTCTAAAAGTGATGGGAGGATGTTTCTGAAGAACCTAGGGGCAGGACAAGAATAAAGACGCAGCCGCAGAGAATGGACTTGAGGACACAGGGAGGGGGAAGGGTAAGCTGGGACGAAGTGAGAGAGTAGCATTGACATATATACACTACCAAATGTAAAATAGATAGCTAGTGGGAAGCAGCCACATAGCACAGGGAGATCAGCTTGGTGCTTTGTGACCACCTAGAGGGGTGGGATAGGAAGGGCGGGAGGGAGACGCAAGAGGGAGGGGATATGGGGATATATGTATATGTATAGCTGATTCACTGTTATACAGCAGAAACTAACACATCACTGTAAAGCAATTATACTCCAATAAAGATGTTTTAAAATAAATAAATAAATAAAAGCGATGGGAGGAACTTCCCTGGCAGTCCAGTGGTTAACACTCCACGCTTCCAATGCAGACGGAGCAGGTTCGATCCCTGGTCTGGGATCTAAGATCCCACACGCTGCACAGCGTGGCCAGACAATTTTTTAAAATTAAAAAATAATAATAATGATAAAATAAAAGTGATGGAAAGCTACTCATCTGAGGTAGAGATGGAGAGTAAATGGAATGATCAGATTTACATTTCAGAAGTATTACTCCATCTACACTGTGGAAAACAGTTTGAGAGAACCAAACTTCATTTAGCAGACTGGATAGAGAACAGTTAGGAGAGCTATGCAGCAGTCTAAGTGAGAAATGATGGTAGCCAGAATTAGGGTTATGACAATAAATGGAGATGGAAAAAATGTACACACAGTCAGTTCTCATTATTAGCAGAGTAAAATTTGTTGTAACCCCCAAATCAATTCTCCAGCGCTTTCATGACATGTGCAGACATGCGAAGAACCAGGAAATATGTGAATCACCCAAAGCACACATTCTGTACACACTCCCAGCTGACACTGCACCAGGTGACACTCTGCCTATTTCAGCTCTCATACTGTAAACAAGCATCCTCTTCTCAGTCTATCTGGAGCCACGTGGTTTTTTTTCATTTTTTTTGCATGTTTGTGCTTTCTGTTGGTAATTTTGCTGTTTAAAATGACCCACAAGCATGGTGTTGAAGTGCTATCTAGTGTTCCTAAATACAAGAAGGCCATGATGTGTCTTCCAGAAAAAGTACATGTTAGATAAGTAACTACTGCGAATAATATAATGAGAACAAACCCTATTTGAGATTTACAAGGTTAAAGTTTATAGGTCTTTGAAATGGATTAGATATGGGGATGGTAAAGGATGAGTTAGGAAAAGGACAAAGAAGTAGAAGGGAAACCACAGGACTTGGGTGTTATAGTCAGTATACGTTCTGTCCAGTCTTAGTGTTATTGAATAACCACTGTCACACATTAGACGGTTCAACCACTCATCTTACAACACAGGAAGAGAGATTTAACAAGTCTGGTTCAACTACAGACTATGCTGAATGGCCACTCCTCTGATCCTAATCAGCAAAATCCCAACCAAATTGAAGACATCAACAACGTGACTTGCTGCCCTGCAGACCAACTTTGTCTGCCCTTGGCCAAAAGTAAGGACTGTGGGGGGGGGGGGGTGACACAGCAGCCCCTACAGTCCAGCACCTGTTCTAAGGCTCATACCTAAACTTCAATGATAACATCCAAATGAATAACCCAAACAGATCTGATGCTTTCAGGGAAAGCATATTTTTTTCCTGGGCATAAACACACAGAACATCCATTTCAGGTAAGTTCACTTAGCAACATAAAATACCAAACATCCTCCTAACTAAATGAGTGACTGCTACTTCTTTACCAATTATAGCTTTCCCTCTGCTTTACTATGCCCTCCTTATAACATTTATTAAGACGTCAAATGACAGAATTACCCCTTTCTGACATTCACAGAAAGATAGACAAGATGAAAAGGCAGAGGGCTATGCACCAGATGAAGGAACAAGATAAAAACCCCAGAAAAACAACTAAATGAAGTGGAGATAGGCAACCTTCCAGAAAAAGAATTCAGAATGATAGTGAAGATGATCCAGGACCTCAGAAAAACAATGGAGGCAAAGATCGAGAAGATGCAAGAAATATTTAACAAAGACCTAGAAGAATTAAAGAACGAACAAACAGAGATGAACAACACAATAACTGAAGTGAAAACTACACTAGAAGGAATCAATAGCAGAATAACTGAGGCAGAAGAACGGATAAGTGACCTGGAAGACAGAATGGTGGAATTCACTGCTGCATAACAGAATAAAGAAAAAAGAATGAAAAGAAATGAAGACAACCTAAGAGGCCTCTGGGACATTAAATGCAACAACGTTCGCGTTACAGGGGTCCCAGAAGGATGAGAGAGAGAGAAAGGACCTGAGAAAATATTTAAAGAGATTACAGTCGAAGACTTCCCTAACATGGGAAAGGAAATAGCCACCCAACTCCAGGAAGCACAGTGAGTCCCATACAGGATAAACCCAAGGAGAAACACGCAGAGACACATAGTAATCAAACTGGCAAAAATTAAAGACAAATTACTTAAAGCAGCAAGGGGAAAATGACAGACAACATACAAGGGAACGCCCATGAGGTTAACAGCTGATTTCTCAGCAGAAACTCTAC